GGGTTTGGTGGTCCGCGGCGGTTCGTGAACGGCTGTCTGTGATCCGAGCCCAGCCTGGGCCTTTGTTCCGCGTCCTCTGAGTGCATGAGCACAGTCGACACCAGCCTAGGGCTTCTGGTTGCTAGTGTTTCGGATTTGACTTTGGAGGTTCGCCGGCTTGCTTTGGAGGTTCGGTCTTTGCAGCTGCTGGTTGAGACCCGACTAGGGGCGCGCGACGCTGAGGCTGCATACCCGCCTGCTGAGGAGCCTGTTCCGCACTCCAGTGTCCCGGTCACTCCCGAGCGTGGCTCGACCCTGCCGATCGCTTCAGTGTCCTCCCCGGCTTTGTTGCCTTCACCCCCCTCTGCTGTGAATCCCGGAGGGCCTTCTCTAACTGAGTGGCGTGGGCAACTTAACGATACCGAACGCCGCGCCCTCGCAAGGCGCATCGGAGTGTGGGTTCGCCGGTCCCTTGACGAGAACCACCGTGGGCCCAGCGGTCGCGAGGAGAATCCGCAAGCCAGCCGTGTGTACTTGGTCGCTCGAGACTGCCGAGGCACCGCACACGACCCTCCGTTGCTTTTCCGGACTTTCAGTGCTGCAAGGGCTTGGGTAAAGCCTGCGGGGTACGTGCCAGAACAGACCGTCTTTGTCGGTCTCCCTACCCTGTGGGAAGCTGCGATTGTTGCCGAGGCTGCAGGTTTGAGGCCGCCCCGTGAGCACGATGACGGACGCCGATGAGTCGTCCGAGGAAGCCGAGAGGCCCCAGGAGCTCCACTATGTTGTGGCCGGGGGCGTTCTCAACTATGACTTCGAGATAGGTGCCTTAGCTGTTGGAGACGGCGATTCTCGACGCACCATTTCTGTGATACTTGTGGCGCCTTTTGAAGAGCGCCTGCTTGCTATTTTTCCGCATAAGGCCTGGGACAAGAAAGCAAACAAAAGAAAGCTCCCGGCCGGCCCTTTTACAAAGCCTTTGCTGTGTGAGGTCGCCTGCGCCTCCCTTTTGGATAGGACCGTCGTCTCTGCCGAGGCCCCGGTTAAGGTGTGGTTTGGCATGCTTGCGCGGGCCCTTGCAGAGCAGATCGTTTTTGACTCGAGCGAGCCCCCTGATATCCCGTTTGGGCCGCCCTCTTCGCCGGTGCTTCCTTATGCCCCCGCCCTTGTGGAGCTTGCGGAAAACCAGTTTGGCTTTCAGTCGGCCCTCAGCTCGCCCGGGCCTCGGGCTGACCCTTTTGAGGCTCGTCTTCAGGCCCTCGAGAGTACCTTAGGACAGCTCAACGCCAGCGTGCAGCAGCTCGTCGGCCGAGACGGAGCCCCTCCTGATCCGCGTGCGAGCCGTGCGAAGGCAGCCCCGAAGGCAAGAGCAGCAGTCCCGGGGGCAGCCAAGGCAGGTACTCGTGCAGGTGTCGGGTCCATTCCTGGGACTCCGGCTCCCCCGGGCAAAGCAAAAGAGGTCCCTGGCCTCGACCCAGCCGTCGTCAAAGCCGCCCTCGACTCCGGAGTCTCTGCCTTCGAGCTAAAGGAGCTCGGCGGTCTGCTTGCAAAAGGTCGCGGCGCTCTAGGCGACTTCCCGGCTGCTCCTGCTGAGGCCGGGCCGGCCGAGTCCGA